ATCGTTTTGTTGTGGGAACTTGGAAGACTTTGTGACTCCAACAACTTTACTTTAACATGCACCAGTTATAATTTAATACACAGGTCTTCTTTGGCCGGCTGGATTCGAACTCCCATTCTCACGAACATAAGTCCAACACCCTACCATCCAGGCTATTATGGTCCAATTGTTTATATATTTGAACTTTTGTTCATTAGCTTTTTAAATAATTTTGAATGTTGTTCTCCGAATTTTAGAATCGAAGTTATAGTTGTTTTTTTGCATGCTGAATAGCAATTACATACTTTAACTGCATTTTAAGAAAAATCTTTATTATATTAGGAGATTTATTTTGAGAAAATTTATTTTTGCTAACACAGATTACAAAAAAAGCTTATAATAGAATTCTTTGAAACTTTGTACATAGATTTTGTATAATGTTTCGAACTGAAAGCTTAAATCTTAAATTTGCCCTTATTCTGAAAAATATTTGCAAATTTTTTAAGTTCACTTTAGATTTTTAATTTTAGAAACCCAGCTTACCAAAAATAACATTTTAATTAAGGTTATTTTTAAAAGAAAAAAAAATTGTTTTTGGATCTAGTCGGATACCTAAATAAACAATATCTTTTGTTTAAATGCTGCTTCATCAGATGAAAAGTAATAAATTTTATTTACTATATAAAAATAATTAGCATATTTGAATTCAATTTCTAAAATGTTTAAAAATTGAATTCAAATATGAATTTATTACTAATAGAAAACAGATTTGAAAATATAGCATTTTTATGTGTTCAAACATACTAGAATAACGGAACGTTAGTAGCTAAGTTTTAATGAAATAATATTCAATTGTTACATAAAACTGATAATATAATTAAAGAAGACTGGACTAACAAACAAAGTAATCTCAATTTTAGTGAAATGACGTAACTTTACAATAATTAATGAATAAATGACCCCTTTATAAGCCACAATGAAAAATTAAAACTGCTAGCACTTGACCTTAATAAATCTATAAATTTGAAACTTGATGTTAATTGGTTTTTATATGTTTTGAAAATTGTATGATAGAGCATTTTTTTACAGTATCAAAATTCTAATATATTTAAAAAAGGAGGGGAAATGATAAAAAAGCAAAAAATTTCAGATTTAAGGAAGGATCTCATGCCTGAAAAAACAATTTGCAAAAAAAAAATATATATATATATTAGTTTAGTGTAAAGCATAGGGAGAAGTTTTGAATTTGTTTATTTTTGCTTACAAAAAGTTCAAAATATCTAAAAACTATTCCTATGTAATATATGAACAGTCCCTTAATATATAAATATTAAAAAAAAAAAAAAACAGTAAATATACTTTAAACAGGTTCCACATACTATTTATAAGTTGGTTTAGTTGATATGTCACCACTTAAAATGTTAAATGAAAGTTTTTTATAGACAATAAATGTTCCTTGTTAATTTTGCTATGTAAAAACAATATACAAAGATGCAAATAATATTCAATTTTAGTAAACATAACTTATTATGAAAAAAATGAATTAGTTAACATGACTTGAAGTTACATGAACTTTTACTGTTTAAACAAATATAAATACAGGTTGAAAAATAAATATGAGAGAAAATTGCATGAACTTCATGCCATAATACATTTTTAAAATAAGAAAAATTTACTTACAAGCACTAAGTAAATTCTTTTAACCTAGTATCCTAAAGAAAACACCACTCATCTTGAAATGAACTGGGAATTAACTACATTTGTACAATGAACATATTACTTTAGAATGATATAATCTGACAGTTAAGAGTTGCGCAATAAACACCAGCTGAGACATATAAGTAAAACAAACAAAAAATGCTTAGATTTATTAGTACTTGATCTATGGTATTGCACAATTTACGATTCCACTTCCTTTTCTAGGAATATTCCTTTTAGAAGGAATAGTATTTAAATAAATGCTACTTAAAAAAGATTCTTTCAAAAAGATTCTTTTTAGGAAGAGATTTATTTATTTAATAATATCTTTACTCAGCTATTCATTTATGGATTCTTTTATTATGAAATAGTCTTATATCCCTATTTATTTTAAATTAGTTAATGTTAAATCTTTTAATGATTGAAAAAAAAAACTTGGTTGATTAGATAGATTGGGTGAAAATAACAAAATCAAGGGTTTGGCATTTGCTTATTACTAATAACTAAAAACTTCTCTCCCCAATAGAAACTTCAAAAATTTCCTTATGTTGTAGGTGAAAAAAAATTTCCAATAATAAGAATTTAAATGTATGCAAACTTTAGTCTCATCTAACATAACATAAAATTTCATTTTAAAATATTCTTTATGAGAACTAATCAAATTTAATAATTGCTAAAAACTATATCAGTAACAAATCTGGATTTATGCTACCAGGCGTATGTATTATTTGTAAATGTGTATCCTTTTTGTAGTTTATTCAATACAGATAGGAAAACATATTTTTCTTCTTTTTTGTGATTTATTTAATAAATAGAAAAATGCATATATTTTTCTGAATTTTGCTATAATTTTTCATTTTATATAAATCAACCAAAATATTTCATAAATGATGGATTATTAGTTGAATACAAATATCTTTACAGATTTAAAAAATCATTGACAGATAGAAAAAAAAGCCTTACTCTTGGAACCCGTGTTAAGTTTCTAAAGAACCCTACTGGTCTAGGCAGTGGCGTAGCGAGCTTAACTCGCGCCCGGGGCACAATACCCTTTTAGCGCCCCCCCATTCGAAAACCATATAATATTATATGTAAAATATATATGGTTTATATATAGGCGACTTGGATTATAGCAAATTAATAAATAAATAAAGTAAAATAAATAAAGTCATAGACTCAAGCTAGGCTTTAAATTTGAGACAAAAAATGTAGTTGAGAGAACAAGACTAGATTTTGAAATGTATATGATCATCTAGAATTAGTTCAAAAGNTTGTGATGCTGCTTCATGGATTGTAAAACCAATTAGGATAAAGCGTCCTTTATCTTCCAAATTAAGAACTTGAAAGTATTCTTTAGGACCAAAGCATTCTTAAAAAACTTTCTTTTTCATGAAAATGCTTCTACAGAGCATTTTTTAATAGAAAAGACACAGATTCGAAAAAGTGTTCACTGTCTTCCATATTAAGCGTTGAAATTTTGCCTTTAGGATGAAATCATTCTTAAAAAACTTTCTTTTTCATGAATAGTTATATGCTTCTTCAAAGAATTGCTTTGTGTGAAAGCGCGATTGCAGATGTTACATTTGTATGGACGTTCACCGGTGTGCTTCCTCATATGCTTCGTTAAATTAAACTTGAATGGCGTAGAATAGGGACACAAGTTGCAATTGAAGCGATGAGTTTGCATGTGTAGAAACAAATCTTCTGCAGAACTGCATTTCCCCTGACAAACATTACACTCGTACCCTAAAATACAGAATTAAAAATATTACATAAATTGATGCTACAATCAATTTTTTATTAGTTCTTATTAATTCTTAATTAAACTTTATATGAGCTATAAACAATAATTAAAATTGTATACATCAAACAAAGCTGCACAGATTTGATTTTTAAATGCAACAACACCATAATTTTTCCTTATTTAACTACACAGTTTCATGTCTTCTAAATATTTTATTTTTCATTCAAGAAATATTGTTTTCATTTAGAAAATTGATACTTTCATTTCTTTATCAATCGTGAAAAATTAAGAGTGCTTAATACTTAAAACAAGACTTAAGTTATTTAGATATATTAAGATAAATTAGAATTAATTGATGACTCATTACATAGTTTTTAGGTCATGTTATTTTTTTAAATCAATTTATTACCTAAAAAAATTATTTAACACATTTTAAAGTTTAACATTCTGGATTTCTCATGTTTTTCACATTATTATTCTGCGTTTTAACAATATATGTGAAAAAAATTACTTGTTATTAACAACTCACTCCCTGCACACACATATAACAAATTATTTTTGAAAATCACAGAATGGTGTAACTGTAAAAATATGAATCGAGTCTATATTTTAAAAAGATATTATCCAATTACATTAGAAGTTATTATCCAATAACATTGAAAAATTTTTATGAGCATAGAAAACTGAAATAGGCCAATGATGAAACTCTTCTTTATTACGTCAATTTATCACAAAAGTCTCAAAAACATATATCTCTAAGAAAGAAAAAGAATATTACAAATTGAGCTTAGTATTCAAGAGATATATGGCATGATTTAAATTTTAATAAATCACAATACACTTTAGAAACCAAAAAAGAATTAATAATTAATACAATACCAATTTTCTTTACATATATTTATTTTAATTTGAAACATGTATGAAACAATAAATAATATCAAACAGCAAAAATACTATATAAAATTACTATTTGTATTTCTTACTGAAATTTACATTAAACTGTCAGCAAAAGAAAATTTATATTTTAGGCAAAGTAAGAGAAACAGTAAAATTTAGCATAAAAACATTTCAATAACTAATACATACATTTGATATTACACAAAACTATGTCCTATTAAAAGTAACTCTCAGCTAAATTTTTGTGATTCAAAACTTACATTATTGTTCTAGATTACCAACCAAAACACACTTGCTAATTATAATAAAAATCATTTGAATACATAAAAAATTAAAATATTGATTTATAATGTAAAACAAAGATGACAAGCAAAAAGTAATGTTTGTAGATATAGCAGATGATTTAATCCAATGTCAGTGCTTGCTAGTCGAATGCCAATGCTTGTTAGCATTTAAAATATATTTAGATATATATATATTAAAGCACTAAAAAACATTTAATTCTAAAATACATTTAGCACTAAAATAGATTTAATACTTGGAGCAAAATTTGAGAATTTGTAAATATTGTATTTAAAAGATATGCAGAGTACCCGTAAAGACTGCCCTTAACGCGCATTTTTTAAAAAAAAAGTGTTTTATTTAAAGGACATATTAGGTGTTCCGTAGAGACCACCCTTAATATGCATTTTTTCAAAGTATTATACTTCAAAGATACACTGTGTGTCTCTTTAAAATCACTTTTAATATGCACATTTTAAAATTCTCAACTAAAATAACAAAAAAGTACACACATTGCGAGTAGCAAGTTAATGTTTAAGAGAGGAAAAAAATGAATGCAATCGAAATTTGATGAATCACAGTACAAGAAAGAGCAGTCGTAATTAGCAACATGATAGGTTTAATAGCAGGAGGAAATAGAGAAGAGCTAAAAGCTTATAATTAGAAACACCTTCAAGTTTCAACCTGTTTTGATGTTTATTACATTTGTTTTCCAGTCGTTGCATTTTTGTTTTTTACTCACTTAAATATTAATTATTTGACCTCATTGAATGTACTTTTATTTTCTTTTTTTATGAGTATTCTAAAAATATATATAAAGGGGAGTCTTTACAGAACAACCTGTACAGTTTAACTGAATAAAATAAAGGATAAGGCTAATTACTTTATGCCTATTTAATGTTAAGAGGACGCTATACTGCAGAAGAAAATTTTCGTCGCAAATTCACTTTCTCCTCCATTAATAATTTAAAAGAAAGAAAAAGTTCAGGCAAATCTAGAGTTTGTCATGATTTTTCAATTGCTGAAAAAAATACTTTAAAATATTAAAATGCAAACAAATTATTAGAAGAGATTTTTATTATTATTAGAACTTCTCTGTTGATCAAATTATTAATTAGAACTTCTCCGTTGTGTACTCCTAAGTTATTATCTCATCATTTATTTCATTTGTACATTTTAAAATGTTCTTTTTAGTATTTAAAACTTCATGGCTTACACTAGCTTTGTCTGAACTCATTTTTTCTACACTTTAAATTAGAAATAAAGGAGAAAGAGAATTTTTGACGAAAATTTTCTCCCGCAGTATAGCGTCCTCTTTATACAGTCATAATATCGGAATAAAATATAGAAATTTTTAAAATTATATTTGAAAACAATAGAAAATATTTTCACTCATTGAAAATTCAAAAAAAAAAAACTAATGCTGCAAAAATAAAGAACGAATCTTATAAAAAGTGGATATTAAAGTTATCTAAGTAAGATTTAAAGTATGTTACTATCATACTGTAAATAAAAAAAAATTCAACTACCTTGAAATCTTTTACTAAAAAGATATTAAATCAAATAATGGGTAAAAAAGAACATGAAATCAAAAAGTTTTATTAAAATTTTAAATAAAAATACAGATATTAGAACAAAATAGTCCTACTCTCTTAATAGTATTTAAACCTAATTTTTCAAGATTTCTCTATAAGAATCTTTTTCATGAATCATTTTAACATGCTTCTTCATTGCACCACTTTCGGTGAAGGCACGGCCACAAATGTTACATTTGTATGGACGTTCACCAGTATGTTTCCTCATGTGCTTTGTTAAATTACACTTGAAAGGTGTAGAGTAAGGACACAGTGTGCAACTAAAACGATGAGCTTGCATGTGCAACATCAGAGCGCCAGCAGAAATACAGCTCCTCCGACAAATATGACAAGCGTACACTAAAATATAAGATTCTACATATAAGTTAAATACGAAAGAAGAAGAAAAAAAATAGACTCACTATGTAAAAGAATATTGATTGTGAAATCAATTTTAGCTGTTAAATTAAATTAGTAACAGACCTTTTACATAGGAATATTAGTATATTTACTGGCATTTTTAAGGGATAGGTCAGTTTTATTTAATACGTACTAACAAATTATTATTTAAAGGAGTTCTTAGAAGCAATCACGTGTCTCCCTCACAGAAGGAAATTAAAAAAGCCACAGTCTGAATGCTGTACACTTAAAGTAAAGCTTTAAATTTAAACTATAAATACTATCATACATTAAAGAATTATCTGGGATTAAGAACATTCGAATGTCTCTCGTCCCACAGTGGACTGATTGCACGATACGGTTCCCAGCAGATCACTGAAGTTGAGTACCACTGGCTGCTTGCAGTGAGTGGGTGGGTGATCAGTTTGTGACGAGATCGAGGATGTGCCTGTGAAGTATCGGTCCTCGATAAACAGTTCCATTGTACAGCGCTCGAACTCGTGCACTGTTTGTCGGGATATTGAAGCAGGGAAGCCACCCCCAAAAGAGAGGATCGAGCTTGCGATAGCGCATCTTTGGATCATCCTCGAGGATGTTTCCGACACTATCGCCAATAGCCCATCGTGCGTTCTAGTGTGGCGTAAATGAAGTACTACTATCACTACAAATATCTTAAATATTTCAACAAAAAAAAATTCTAGATAAAATCATAAAAAATCAATGAACAATTCTTAATTTTTCAATACAAATCAACATGACAAACAATTGACATTTTTCAAACATATAAAAATTATATTATAAATCCTTTTCACAAAACTGAAACTTTTCGTGATAGTGATGTTTTGCCCACGTTTCATCACAGACTAAAAAACAGGCACAACTTAACCTAAGAGTAACGGATAACTGTTACAACAGTCATTAAAATAAAATATCATGGGCTAAACAGCATTAATCCTTTTATGTGAGGACAGAGCTTTAAAGAACAGATAAATAAATTTTTAATCTACTCAACATGAGTCTAGTATTTTAGTTGGTAATTAAACCCTAGTTCCTTTTGTTATTTTATAAGAACACAATGAATTTTCAGTTAAACTATACCCAAGATTCAAGGATAAAATCAACTGAATTTATAACTATTACAAAGGTTATTTTAAATTACAATAAATTGAGCATCCATAGTATGATCTATTAAGTAGATTTCATCCACCTTACTCATACGTCTCATTTCCCGTAAATTGCGTCTAATTCATCCTTTTCTTCATGAGTGGATTTCACGCTCTGTTAGTAACTAAGATGATTCTTTTGAAGTCTTCCTGGAATAATTTTTGAATGAACATTTGCATAATGCCTCTTCATAGAGTTCGTTTGTATGAAGGTGCGACTGCAGACGTCACATTTGTAGGGACGCTCACCCGTGTGAATCCTGACGTGCTTCGTTAAATTGCTTTTGAAAGGTGTGGAATACGGGCATTCTATGCAACTAAAAAGATGAGCTTCTACGTGCTGCACCAAGTCTTGACCAGAATTAAATGTTCTCAGACAAAACTCTAAAACACAAGATTTTAAGCATTAGTTAAAAGGGGAAATTCATTATTGGATAAAATAATAAAATTAAAATTAATAATACAGTTGTTTGCATTCATTATATAAAAACAATTATGAGAGAAACTTTTTTTATGTATTTTTTTTCTAATATTTTAAGACATTTTCAAAAGACTTGCAAAGAGAATCTTAATCAATCACACATGTGAACTTCAGCTTCAAAAAACTTAGGTCATTTAAATTGTTATTATTAAAAAGTGCTGAAATAGGAATTTATATAATGGCAACAAATGAGAACCTAATTGTTTATATGTATGACATATTATGAATATTATGACATAGTATGAAAAGACCACAAATTTCCAAGAAACTGTCAAAATGCTAATAATACGTCAATTATCATTTGAACGAGGAAAAACTTACCAGTCTTCCTCTGTTATGACAAACATTTTTAAGGAAATATGTTTTCTGCTGCTTAATAAAAAATATTGCACGGAAAAAGCTTTTATGGAAGTCATTTTTATTTATTTTTGATATCAATAGAGAAAAGCAAAAAATTTAAATTTTTTGTCAACTTGAAATTTTAACCTCTTTTTGTATAATGCAATGTGTGAGTGATCATCAGATAATTTGTCTTCTTAACAAAATAAAAGTTCGTCTTTAAAATAATGTGATTTCCGTTGACCAACATCATATTTCTTTCTAAACAATTTACAATCATTATTATCAATGATGTCAAAATTATTGCACTTCATTTGAATTTTTATAAAAACTTTTTACAATTTGGAAACTTGTTGTTCAAATATTCCCGACATAGATATTTCCGCCTTTCATTAAAATACAGAGTTACGAAATTCTATCTATAATCTGTTGGCAAAGGCAGTCTAATTGAGTTAAGTATTAAAAATCAAAATAGTTGTTCAAAATAAATGAAAAGGAGGTAAATATGTCTACTTCATTTCTTAGTTCTGATATTGCTATTTTAACTTCGATTATGTGTATTCACTTACAAAACTGCCATTATAACAGACTTTTTTAATGTACATATTTTCACTGTTGATTTCAACATTCAGACCAAAGCAGCTGATCTCAAAAACTTTAACAATATATTCAACAGAAAACTTTTTTTTACCACGGCAAGTAATCTTTTTATGCAATAAAATGTTTGTCTTCTTCTTTAAGTCAAAAACTTTTCTAAAAATGTTCCTATTACATGACAAGTATGTTTTTAAATGACCTCAATACACATTTTCTAGAAAACAAAAAGTTATTTCCTGTATATATATATATAAAACTATAACCACGCTACAGAAAAGTATAAAAAGCCAAACAATATAGCAAGATTTGTCATTCCAGATAAAAAATAATAAACTTTTTGAACAATAACTTCGGCTTTGAACCTAGTAAATATTTAATATTAAAGTACACAAATCACATATGAATTGAAAAATAGCTTGGATATTAATAAAAAAAAATTTAAGCAAAAAATTAAGAATATTTCCATTGCTGCAAATATAGGGTGTGTACCAATTCCCTCAATGATTTAGAAGGCTTATAACAAACAAAACATTACCATAACTCTAGTTCACGCCAGCATTGTGACAATTGTCACAGATTGTTCCACAAATGTCCTTAAAAATCCTTCACATGAGAGACAAATTTGTCTCCTTGAAATATGTTTGGAAATTATAGAACAGTATCAAAAAATTGCTTTTTGCATTATATTCCATGCAATTAAAAAAAATAATAATTACTGGAATTTGCTACGCTTGGTATGGAATTCGAATGCATGGTATTTAAATGGAATAAAAAAAAGAGTCCGATAAAAAAAATTTTTTTAATTTAAATGTTGAAATTTTAAATTTACATGTTGTGCTGTGCTTTTCATTCAAGTACTGACAATGTAATAGTTAATCAATAAAATAGCATTTTTTGCTCTCTTAGAAGTTTAGATGATTAATTTTTGACATATTTTATTAACTCTTACTTACTCTGTTTCCCTCATTTATTTGGTATCAGTATTTAAATCTCTATATTGAATATATTTACTAATACTAATTTAGCTCCTTTACATTTAATTTTAATGAATACTAATATTCAGTCATTATGGGCTAACAAACCTAATGAGTTATAGACGGCATTTAATAATTGTTAATGTCTACCATAATATGAATTACGTAATTGTAAAGTTCAATTATTTTTCTCAAATTTTTCGACCCTATTAAGGCTTTGGACCACTAAATAAATACCCAAGTGGTCTTATTGGACTACTAAATTTTCATTGCTAATAAGAATATCTATTGCATGAACGAATTTTACTTTATCTCATAAAGAAACATCACTTTTTTAAAATAAAAAAAAATATTTAATATGTGAACTTTTGGTAATGCGGCAGAATTCAAGTTAAAAATTTAAGTTTTTGTCACACTGACTGCAACAAGTAATGATCAATGGTAACGAACCCAGTGGTAATTTCATTAAATCACTAAGCATATGAGGTATGAATGCACAATCTTCAATATGATCCCATAAAAAAAGTTACTGGAAGTTAGGCGTGGAGGAGAGTCTTCCACGATCTGGAGGGAATTGTGACACCCTCTATATAGTGGAATAGGCAAGTGTGTAGACGTACATAGGATGTAGCCTAATAATTGCCTTTACTATTAAAATATTTATGATGTGAGAAGTTAAAAGGTATTTACATGAGCCTCAAAATAATATTCAATAGAGAAAAATATGATATTAACTTAACAGTGAATACTAAGGCTGATCAAAGCATAGGATTAGTTCCTAGATGAAGAAAAATGAAAGTTTTATTGTTCCAAAAGACAAATAAACAGGTTTTAATCTTACTTTTGGTTTGACGGGCTTTAACGTTGATCAGCCGTAGCCTAACAAAGATTTTTTATTTTATTTCTCGAAGTATTAATTAGCAACTTCCCATGTAAATATTCTTCTTATTTAATTTTTTTTACATAAACTCTATCATTATGGAACAAAATTAAAAGGATAAAATATATTGTATCAGTGGAATATTAGATTAGAAAAAAAAAAAAACACTTTTAAAATGTTGTTCATTGTAATGCAATAATTTATTACAAAAACAAATTTCAAATAAAACAAGATACTGAGACAAACAAAAGTTTAAAATGAAGTTAACAACTATCAAATAAAATATTAAGAATTTTGTATAGATATATATACATAAAAAAAACTTTCCGAATGTTCTTTTATGATTTTACATATGACATATTAGATGCTTCTTCAGAGCATTACTTTGAGTGAAGGCACGATTACAGATATTACATTTGTATGGTCGTTCACCCGTGTGTTTCCTTATATGCTTCGTTAAATTGCTCTTGAAAAATGTAAAGTAAGGACACAACGTGCAACTAAAACGACGAGGCTGCATCTGTAGAAACAAATCTTCTGCAGAATTACATATCCTATGATAAGTATCAAGGTCGTACCCTAAAATGTAGGAATTTAGACATTAATACTTTTGCTGACGAAAACGACAATCACAAACTAAAAACAAGAATAAAATACAAACAAAATATATATTATTAAAAATGAGACATTGTAAACAATTAATTTACTTTGTTCTATCAATTACTATTATTAAATAGGGGTAGATATTTGAAACTCAATGATCTATTCAGATGTCCATTTAAGATTTTTAAAAAAATATATATATATACTTCTTACAAATACAATATTAATTTCTTTGTGAGCTAATTCAAAACTGCAACTTTAATAAATTGAAATTTTAATAAATAGGTTGAATTTAAGTGAAATTAGATGAAAAGTTTTTTTTTTTTTTTTAAATGCATAGTATTTGAAATCATGATGAAAAAATACACACCAAAGACAGTAACACAGACCAAAAAATTTAAAAACAAAATCAGCATACTTATAATTCTTCACTCGATTGACAGTGATTGGTTGCTGGTCTAAGGGATCACCGTTATTTGATAGTGGTCCAAGTTAGATTTAAGAGGTCTTGGATAAACAGGTCATTCCTCATGAAAGCAATTTTGACAATGAAGTTTCTGTTCATTTGATTCTTTTTTCTGCAAGATCTTCCAGTTTATATTTATTAATCTTGAGCATAAATTTCAGCTATATATTCCACACAATTTGAACTATCATTTTTAAAGTAATTATGTATTAAAAATGAACAATATTATACTGAAAGAACACAATGAAATACAATCGGCTTATATAATTATAAATATGTAGCTGTTAATCTATGTTATTTTTTTTACTGGGATATTTGTATCATTATAATTCATCATACTAATATTATACTAAAAATTGCAGACTAGCTAGTTTGATTTAAACCAATATTAAATATCAATATTACATCTCTTAAATTATTTTACATCTCATTACATACTGTTCATAATTTGCAAATTTGTTTAGCAGACTGTATGGAATGATACAGAATTCTAGAATGCTGTACCATGAAAGCAAATTTGCATTGATTTAAATATACTTTTTCGTATTGTCTCTCTGTCTAAATTTATTTCCCCCTATGCAATTTATAAATTAAAATTTAAAAAATGAATAATTATATTATTTCTATAATTAATAAATTAATTATACTATAAATTAATAAAAAATAAAACACATTATCTTTGCCGTAGAGGTGTAAATAGTTTTTATCTAATTGCTTTTGTTCCATTAGAGTAATACTAATGGACCATTGGCACTGCTCTGGGATTCATCTTTAGCAAAAATTAATAGCAAATAATGGCATGTATGTTCTATAAATTCTCTTATTTATTATGTAAACATTTTATTTATCTCCATTTCTTTTAATGATATGAAACTAACATAATTTTTTATTACAACTATTTGAATAACTCTGAACTTATTTTTGTTTTAATTTCCTTAAATTGAATAGTTGAAGATTAAGGAATACATTTATAGAGCAAACATAAAACAATGATTTAATAAATTCGTTATCACTAAAAAGAACATGGAAATTATAAAATGTAGCTTCCTTTGAAAACATAATAAAATTAATTACAGAATTTTAGAAAAAAAATATTTTGTAGGTGCTGTTTCGCATTGACATTTAAAAATGTCTATATTAAGATTGTTCCAATCTAATTCTTAAGTACATTTAGAAGGGAAAAAAAATTTCTCAGTTTCTGTAAAAAGTACTGACAATATAGCTGCTCAATATTATATTGCTGTGGAAAAAGCGTCTATATTCATCTTATTTTACATTATTTGTCCTTTGGTGGCTAGTTATATATTTATCACAGCTTTTCAAGACTTAATCTCAAGTCCTGGATTAAAAAAGAACATGAAATCATGCAAATAATTTTATAATAATTATTTGAATAATTAACATTCCCAGAGCTACTACTTTTATGGAAAAAATTAAAAAATACTAAAAAAAAGGGAACATTTCTTATTTACCTTTTTCTTTTAGGAGAATTAACTATACCTGTCTACCAACTATTTTTCTCAATTTTAACATTTAAATTTAGTTCAGTTTTTTCAAATAAATATGTGTTATAACTATTAATGAGTACTGGAAATTATGGTTTGAATATTTCTTCTGAAAAAAAAAGGAAAAAACAAAATGATTTTACAACCAATGTTTATATTTTCCACATGTAACAACATGCATTTCATAAATTAACAAAAAAAAAGCACAATCACTAGAATACCAAATAAATTATTTAACATAGAAATAAGAACTGAAGGAAGCTGCAATTCATGAAAACAAATATCTGCTGAGAAATCTTTACATAAAATAAGGTTTAAAAATCAATAAAATCAGTTAAGGTAAGGAAGAAGCTTACACTGCAAAAAAAAAAAATTCCAAGGAATCTGTTGGTGTCTCATCTGTGGAATTCATTGTAGCTTTTCTTCATTTATTGTACCTTTCGTCTTTCATAGATTTAACATAAATTTATTTTTTAAAAAAAATTATCATTTTTTGGATTGTTAAGACTGACATCTATCTCGTCATTAAACTCTGTCATTGTAACTTTCACAATTTGTCTACAACTCAATAAGACAGATTTAAATGCATTCTTTCTTTTATTAAAAATAAAAGAAAAAAAATGGACGTTATAAATTAGAAAATATGCCATTTATACATTCATTTTTTACAATTTTAAAGTATTTTTGATTAAAAGTATGGAACATCAAGACATTATTATATTAACACATTTCTTTTTTTACAACAACAGAATAGAGACATAAGTATAATCTTTCATTTCTTACAAAATTTACAGAGAAAAACAATTCTTTTTGAAACAAACTATTACAGAATCTATTGTTATATACAGGCTATCTGCTACATTTTAGATTTTCAAATTCATGACTTTCCATGACTAATTCCAAAAATTTTTCATGACTTAACGAATATATTAAATGATAGGTATAACCAAAAACAGAGTAAAGAAAGAGTTGAAGTAATAAAATATCTGAAATAAATACTGTCATGCCTCCATGTTGTGATGGCGCTGTAATCAAGGTAGATGTTGTAAAAAGACAGAGGAGGGAACGCTCTGATGGAGAGCGGAAGCGAATTGTTTAGGTGGATTGGTTATATTAATTTTCTTCAAACTTCATTTTTTTTTNTTATATTGCTGTGGAAAAAGCGTCTATATTCATCTTATTTTACATTATTTGTCCTTTGGTGGCTAGTTATATATTTATCACAGCTTTTCAAGACTTAATCTCAAGTCCTGGATTAAAAAAGAACATGAAATCATGCAAATAATTTTATAATAATTATTTGAATAATTAACATTCCCAGAGCTACTACTTTTATGGAAAAAATTAAAAAATACTAAAAAAAAGGGAACATTTCTTATTTACCTTTTTCTTTTAGGAGAATTAACTATACCTGTCCACCAACTATTTTTCTCAATTTTGACATTTAAATTTAGTTAAGTTTTTGCGCATAAATATTTTTTATAACTATTAATGAGTACTGGTAATTATGGTTTGAATATTTTTTCTGATAAAAAAAAGGAAGAAACAAAATGATTTTACAACCAATGTTTTATATTTTCCAGATGTAACAACATGCATTTCATAAATTAACAAAAAAAAAGAACAATCACTAAAATACCAAATAGATTATTTAACATAGAAATAAGAATTGAAGGAAGCTGCAATTCATGAAAACAAATATTTGCTGAGAAATCTTTACACAAAATAATGTTTAAAAATCAATAAAATCAGTTAAGGTAAGGGAGAAGCTTACATTGTAATAAAAATTCCAGGGATTCTGTTGGCGTCCTCACCTGTGGAATTTATTGTACCTTTCCTCTTTCATGGATTTAACATAAATTTATTTTTAAAAAGAATTTATAATTTTTTGGATAGTTAAGATTGGCATCTATCTTGTCATTAAACTCTGTCATTGTAACTTCCACAATTTGTCTACAACCAAATAAGACAGATTTAAATGCACTCTTTCTTTTATTAAAAATAAAAGAAGAAAAAAGTTGATGTTATAAATTAGAAAATATGTTATTTATACATTCATTTTTCACAACTTTAAAGTATTTTCTATTAAAGTTTTGGAATATCAAGACATTATTATATTAACACATTTCTTTTTTCACAACCACAAAATAGAGACATAAGTATAATCTTTCATTTTTTACAAAATTTACAGAGAAAAACAATTCTTTTTGAAACAAATCATTACTGAGTCTGTTGTTATATACAGGGTATCTGCTACATTTTAGATTTTCAAATTCATAACTTTCCATGACTAATTGCAAGAGTTTTTCATGACTTTTTTTGAAAGAACATTGTCATTTTTAAAGAACATGATAAAAACATTTTATATTTTAATAAAACATGACTGTGAGTGGGGATTTGTTACAAAATCAGATATTTTGAATACCATGAAATTGTGTCTGTGTGAGGTCTGTGTAAATTCCATTTTAAAAATTAGATTTTTCGGCGACTGAAATTCATGATTTTCCATGATTTCTCATGACTTTTCAGGTGCGCAGATACCCTGTATATAATTTTACTGTTAAAAAAAATTTATTTAAAAAGTTGGTTGACTATTTATCAAATTTGTGTAAATAGTTAATGTGTGTTTTTAAATGGGTCTTCTGTTTGAAACGTTTGTGACACATAGTGCATTCAAAAGGGCGCTCTCCAGTGTGAACTAGCTCATGTTTTTTTAAATTGTCAGGTTTCACTGATTTATAATGGCAATATTGACATTGGTAAACTGGCTGCTTGATTGAAGATAGCTTGCTTCTTGTCGCACAGAACTTAACATAATCAGAGTCTTCGTTTACATCCTCATCCGTTTTACCAATAAACTCTAAAGAAAACGAAAATGTCATTATTGATATTTATTACAGATATATTTTGAAAAAATTATTACAGTAACAAACACAAAATTTAAATATAAATCTAATCTATCATCCTGAACTTTAACGTTATTACATTCATATTTAATAAAGAGATGTCGAATACTATTATTCTAACAAACTTAAAATAAAATATAGAAAGATTTTTAAAAATATTACAGCAATGAATAAAAAAGTAAGCAACTCTAAATCTAATTTAGTATTTAGAAAAATAATTGGATTTAATCTCAACAGACTATTATACTAATTATTAAAATTTACTAAGTTATAGTAGTTTTACAATAAGGATACATTTTAAAAATAGAAAATCAAAATAAAATTTAATTTTATATTTTTCAGTGAAAAATGTAATAATACATGAATTAAAAAAAGTTACTCAGAAAAAAAGATTTGAGATAGTTAAATTAAAATTTCTTTAAACATATTTTTTTGTACAATCCAACTAAAAAAAACAAATTTTTTTTAATTGTCTATTTAACAAAGTTGTAAGATTTTTATCACTATTAATCATTACTTTTTTATATATAAATATTTTAGTACAATAATACATATTAATACAGATTTTAACATAAAAACAAACATAAAACAAAAATCACATATATTTTATATAATTAATATTATCTTAAGAAAATTTAGATTAAATAAATCTAATATTTTTATTTATTAAAGTAATAATACACTAAAATTATTTTCATTTATTAAGTAATAAAATTATTTTCTTTATGAATAAGGATAAGTCATAAATAACTCCCTTGAAAATATGTTAAAATAGAGGCACCAGAATATGCAAACATTAGCAAAGTTCAACATTACGTAATTTATGCACTAAAATACAAGTAAGATGCCTTAAAGATAAATTTCATCAAGGATAATTTTTGTCAACTAAATTATAAAAATACTCAAATTTAGAATAAAGATATGAAAAGTAATAAAGTTACAGAGAAGTAATAAAGATATGAAAAAGGAAAGAAAGATGTTTTTTTTTTATTCCCTTCTTAGGAATAAAAAAGCACAAGTCTACTCAGCTTATTATCTTAAATTACTTACCAGTCTTAGAACTTCAATAAAATAAAAGAGGAAAATATAAAAAAGGTCATTACAAAATGATACAGACTTTGAAATAGTTAAAACTTTCCATAGCTATATCACAGAACCTAATCATAGAAAAAGTGTGATTATACAAATATCTTTCAATTCTTCAAATTTCCTGATTTAAAAATCTCACATTAAACTACATATTCTCAAAATTTACATGGTAGACATCAAAATTTTTATTCAATTTCCTTAAAGCTTTGAATTGTGATATTAATTCAAGAGATTTACAAATTCTATATGAAGATTTGCATTACAATTTACAAATCAAATATGTGTTCGATAAACCCTTCATCAGTACTGCTGCCGATTACATGAATAGCATATAGTAGTTTGAATAAAACCTTCATCTTAAAGCTCTGTATTATCAAGTGTGTGGTACATTTAATGAGGGGGGGAGGAGTTTTTTGATCACTGACCACTTAGGCTGCAGGCATACAAGTTTTTTGTTTCTCAATGAAACCGATATCCCACAAAAACAAATTGAAAGATAAGGCTTTCTGCTTTCTAATTCTTCTTGAATCTATCAATCCTTATCCCCTCCCTCTGCTGACCCTAGGTTGCCCTCACAACCTCCGAGCCCCCATCCTGTAGGGTCCACCATGTAAAGGGGGGCAACCACAAATGATTTGTAGTTACAAATTTTGTGGTGGGTTAAAATTTATTGGTGGAATCAAAGTTTGTGCAGACAGTCTTATTTAAAGTGGCTAAAGATTTTTGAAAGGGACATTTTGGGGAGAAATAACAGATCTTTAGACATTTAGGATACAATTGGGCAAAAGAATCTTCATAAAATCATTTTTTCTCCTAAAATATTTCAGAGCCCTGAAAGTATTTATGTATTTAAGTTTACATTTTATATGTACTTGCATTAAATTCAAAACATAGTTGAGTGTTTCAGCAGTGTATTTTCAAAGTAATAAACTATGGATAGGTTTTTTCTTTGTGAATAAATTTGAAGATAAATAATTATATTTTTCATATTTTATTAAAGGATATTTGTTGTATCCATTTTAACATAATTTTGAAAAAACTAAATGCAAATCTAAAAGTCAATTGAATTTTATTGGTTAACTTACGTCACTTTTACCATAATTTATGAATATAAAAAATGGAATAACACAATAATAAAATAAAGAACAATTTGCTATTTCAAAGTTGAACCTATGTTATAAAAAATATTCATAATTTTCTTTTGAAAAAAATGTTTTTTCTTCTTCTTTTTAAAATTTTAAAGCCTTAAATTACTATAATCTAAGTTCATTGATAACAAAAGACAAGAACTATTACAGTTTGATTAAATGCATGAAAAATATAATCATAAATTTTATGTCATTACTAATTTTGAAAATCATTTATTATATATAATTAAAATAAAAAACAAGAGTTATAAAGAATGTTGATAAAGAAAGTTTATCCTTAAAAGAGCTTGAATACATAAAAAAATAATGCATTGTAAAAAACGAAAGAAAAAAGATATTAATTAAAAATATAAAATACTATGAAATATTAATTGTGTTAAACATTTTTACAAAAATTGATCATATTTTTTAAACATATGAATTAATTCTAAGTCTTATAATTTTTCTGCTTTGCTTTTTCAGAATACTAATATGTTTTAAAGTGCAAAATTGGAGCAAAATAATTGAAAAATTTTTTGGACTAACAATTGGAACAAAATTAAGAAAATTTTGAAAACAAATATTATCTAAATTTTACGGAATTATTATTTGAAATACGACAACAGAAGATATTAACAATAAGAAAAATAAAACACAGATAGTACAAACTGAAAAAACACAGATACACAATAAAAACAGCTTTTACTGCAATTACAATTCAATGACTACCTACATAGTCTCAGGAGCGATTTATATTTGAAACATTAATTCCAGAAAATAAATCTTTACAATTTTTTCCGGTACTTCTCTTTTTGTGCCAAACACAAGTAAATTTTACTATTTTCTAATTTCGGTGACTACTATTTTTTTTTTTAAAAATAAATGCATAAAAAAAATTTTTTATACCTATAGTTAAACTTAATGGCATCCAGCTTATGGTAAATACTCTTTCTTTTTAATGTTATAAATAACAAAATGAAACTTCATATCTCTGATATTAAAAAAAATTTCATTCAATCACAGAATTTATTTTCTTTTTAAAACTATCACAAAATTTCACAATAAAACAAATTACAACACACATTTTCAAGGAACACATACATAATCACAATAATAGCCTTACAATTATGGCCTTTGTAAATTAATTTAAATACATACAAGCAGTGAAAATTTTCAAATGCACACAATGTTAGTCTGAATATTTTACGAACATTAGGACATTTTTTTAGGCCTTAAAAATTCCTTTTGCTATTCCGTTTTGTTATTCATTGGAAAAGTAGAGAGCAGCAGAGTAATTTCAATATAATTTTTCTCAGTGGCTCAACTGTGTGATGGCTAAAGGAAATTGAGAAGTTTACTGACTAGTAAATGAATGAGTATTAATGTGTTTTTTTAAATGAGCCTTCTGTGTAAAACTTTTTTCACAAATAGTACATTTAAAAGGACGATCTCCAGAGTGTACAAGTACATGTCTTTTCAAATTGTCAAGTCTTGATGATTTATAAGTACAAAGTGTACATACATACAAATTCTGCTTTGCGGTAAAATGCTTGCTTACATTAGACAAACCAAACTCTCCACTGAAATTCATTACATCAATATTCCCTAAAAGAAAATAATTAGCAATGGTTAAAATACATTACAAAAACATATACCAATAATATATAGATAATATCATTTACCTATATTAAGAAATAGAATGTTTTTTTATTAAATTAATAACACTATAAAACAATATCAATTATATTAAAGTATCAAATAGGTATATCCTAGATATATTTAAAATACATCTAAACTAAAATATGTAAACCAATAAAATATATAAAAGCTAAATTATTACATAAAATACACAAACAGTTATACTATTCATAACACTAAACCAGGTAAAAAAAAATCTTTAAAATTACTAACTATTTGATAGGCATCTTGAACTATTTAGCTTTTTTAAAAAAGTTGTTTTGAAATATTTATATCAGCAAAAAGTGCAACAGATTATAAAAATGCATGTAAGTTTAGATTAAATAAAACTAAACAGTAAAATTACACAGAAATTTTAATTTAAAATTTTGTTTCCATTTCAGCAGCTTATATTAATCTCTCTTACAACTCAAAACTAATTCTTTTAAGAAATTTTATATCAGTTAAGAAACTTTCTCAGACTGCCAGTTTTCCTTAAAAATACAACAACAAAAAATCATAAGAAAACAAATTTACCAAAAATCTTTCGAAAAGAAATTGAAAGACACAAAATGTAAGCAGTCTTGATTGTGTTTCAGAAAAATAGGTCATAGAATAGTTTTTTAAAAAAAAGGTATCTGAAGAATGCTATAAGAAAGAAAAAGCACTGTAGAGGATTTGATAAATCTTAAGAAAATTAAAGAGACTTGTACTGTTTTCAACCATAGATGCAAGTAAAAAATTACACTTTTGAAGAAAACAAATTTTAAGCATTTTTTTCGAAAAATTTAAAACAAAACTCATCTGAAACCTCTCTTCTCAATATTTCAATAAGTAAAAATGTATACCAACTATTGAGATAAGATAATATTGATATATTGCATGGCAACAACAATTTTTGCATAATAGCTTTAAAATAAAAAATTATTTTAGCTTATGCGTTCGTTCCTTCCCTAGAAAAATTTCTTAAACGAGATTAATATACAAGTCTGCGAATTTATTCATATCAATGTTTCTTATACATAATCTTTACATTTTCAAAGTCTCTGTTTAAAATTTTAAAAAATCAATCGAAATTGCATCTAAGTATTAATAATATATAATACAGCACGTATATATTTCAGACTAAAATCTAAGAAAAATTTAATTTTGCAAAACATTTTTTGGTAAATATGGCTTAGGCTTTGAGAATCTAGTAAAACTAAGAGAAACTTTAATTAACAGTTGAATTATTTGAATTTATAATTCTGTTTAACATGCTGCACATTTATTGCGACCTAATTTGGGTTGAATTCGAAATTCCCCATTTGTTTTTGCACATTGTAAGAAAGCAACTTTCTTAATATGATCTTTTTTATTTGCTATCCGCTCATTTATGCTCCCTTCGTTTAGTGTGATTTTAACATAGCAAATAAATACTGGGCCCTGAACAAAGCTTAAACACCAGTAAAGAACTTTAAATGATTCTTTGCATAAATTAAAAAGTGTCCTTTAAGCTTTTCAATAAGCAACGTCAATATTTTGTGAACAAAAATTTTTTTATTTATCAGAAGAACGCGCAAGCCGCGATAAAATAAACAAATTGGATTCGGAAGAGTTGAGATGTTTTGAGTGGAACTCGCTATCTTCAAACAGACTATAAACCTATTACGCTTTAGCCTGAACTACTGTAATAAAGTTAATACTACTGTGCCATCTATCAACAATTGTAAAAAAGAAAGACTCGCATATTTTTATTTCATCAAGCCAAAATTACAAACTTTTAAGCAAACAAAGCAAAAATAATTTAATTTTCTTTGCAATTATATCAGTATTAGTAAGAAATAATTAAATTAAACACAGATTTTCAACGTTTATTTATTTATTTATTTTTATATTTGAAGGGGAATTTGCCATTTGTTGTAACCCATTTCGATCGCAAATGAAAAACTTTTTTTTTTCTTTAAGAAATTCGCGATCGCAACGCTCGAGTACGCCGTCTAGCGGGAGCCTGTAAATATCAGATATTAATTTATCACGTTTTCATTTAGTTCCATCAAANGTACGATTGCACACAAAACTGTAATATAAAATTTTTTGCTTAATGAAAGTCCAATATATACTAATATATTCCACATTTACATAAAAAAACTGCAGAAAAATTTCTAAAACCTGCACTTAAGATATGAAAAATATTTCATAAAAACTAGCAAATAAGTAAAAGAGAAATTAAATGAAACTTCCGTCATTTACTCACGGGTCCAGATTTTTTTAATTACTACCTAATTTATCCTTTTACTAATACACCGATTCCCTAACTAGTGATTAGTCCCGTAGTGGACTGATTGTTAAGACACGGTTCCCAGCAGATTACCGAAGTCAAGCATCACTGGCTGCGTTCAGTGTGCGGGTAGGTGACCACTTGGATCAGTATGCGTAGGGACCGAGGATGTGCGGTATTGGTCCTCGTTGCACTGTTCTACCGTAAAGTGCTCGACTTCGCGTGCAGGTTGTCAGGTTACCGAAGCAGGGGTGCCATCCCCTCTGCGGAGGATCAAAATTGTGATGGCATGTCTTCGGATCATCCTCAGGGATGTTTCCCAGGCCGTCGTCAATAGCCCATTGTGCAGCTCTAGTGCGACGTAAATGAACAAATCAAAAACTAACTAGTGATTAGTCAATTCGTCTTGAAAAACTGGTTCATTTTTTCACCACTTCGCTCAATAACCGATAGGTTTATTCCTGATCCTATCCATTTATTCGTTTTTTTAAATATTTAACTTCTTTTTTCACAAAATCATCTATTTATCAAATTGCCATAAAACTACTGTTGTTTAATTAAACGGACAGTAGTAACAGTCACGGTTGTTATAGAGTACTCCAATTTATAGTTGTGCCTCCTCCAACTTATAGTACCCTATTCTCCTACCGCACACTAACATACGATTCTAAAAATATAAAAATAAATATTTGTTTACCTATTAATTTGCCATCGCTCACATCGCGTGAATGATAATTTTGTATTGTGGATTAACAGATAATTTAATTTCTTTCATAGGGCTAATTTTGGTTGCGATTTAAAAAAAATTTTTATAAAAAAAATAAAGTGACATCGTACTTTATGACGTACTTTTGGTTGCGATTTAATTATTTTTTTTATAAAAAAAATAAAGTGACAGCGTACTTTATGACGTACTTTTGGTTGCGATTTAATAATTTTTTTTATAAAAAAAATAAAGTGACATTGTACTTTATGACGTACTTTTGGTTGCGATTTAATTATTTTTTTTATAAAAAAAATAAAGTGACATCGTACTTTATGATGTACTTTTGGTTGCAATTTAATAATTTTTTTTATAAAAAAAATAAAGTGACATCGTACTTTATGACGTACTTTTGGTTGCAATTTAATTATTTTTTTTATAAAAAAAAATAAAGTGACATCGTACTTTATGACGTGTAGATGACAAATCCACAGCACGTGCGCCACTGTGGGGCATGAGTGCAAAACTACGATTTTAGTCAAAATATTACAAATTTCAGCTTTTTTGTGTCTCGTTTTTGGAAAGAAAAATGATTAATACATAGATAATTTGATAGCAAAAACTAGTTACTAAAACCAATAATTCTTTGAAAAATGAAAACTGGGTTTGCTTTGAACAATTTATATAATGCTAGGTTTGATGATTTCCCAATTTGGGTACTTGCAATTTAAGAAGAAGATCACGGATAACCACACATGTGACCTATGAAGTCATCGCCAACTGATCGCTTATTTACAAAATGGCGGGGAATGTAAATTAACGAGAAGTTCATTGAATACATCGTAATATCGCACATCGAATTTATTGAAAAACAATTTTTTCTCGTCTACGTCTTTTAGTTAGCTTAGTTGTTGTTGTTAATTTACGTCGCACTAGAACTGCACAATGAGCTATTGGCGACGGTCTGGGAAACATCCCGGAGGATGATCCGAAGACATGCCATCGCAATTTTGATCCTCTGCAGAGGGGATAGCACCCCCGCTTCGGTAGCCCGACGACCTGCACGCGAAGTCGGGCACTTTACGGTAGCACAGTTTAACGAGGACCAATACCGCGCACCCTCGGTCCCTACGCAGACTGATCCAAGTGGTCACCCACCCGCACATTGACCGTAGCCAGTGATGCTTGACTTCGGTGTACTTAGCTTAGATTTATTATTAATGTATTTTATTTTAACCGTAATATATTTTTGTTTTGTGTACCTGGCAACTTCGATGCATAATTAGTTTGTCAATGCTCTACATGGCTTCATCCCTGTCTTTGTGTTAAGTAAGAATAGAGAAATAATTGAAATCTTTCATAATACAGAAGATTAACTCTATATATATAACATAAATTTAACTCTACGATATCGGTTTCAGTAACTTATTCTTATCGGTTTCATTAACTTCTGATATACACAGAAGTTAATGAAACCGATTCTCATTTAAGTTTTAAGGAAAAGACCAAATAGCGAATCCTTCAAAGTCAAGTCCACAGGCAATAAAACTCCAATGCCCTATTCAACACTAGGGTTAAATTTATGTCTGAGATTAGCGGGAGATAAAAAGCATTAATAATTACGGGTCTAATTTTTTTAAACTTAAATACAAAAGTATATAATATTTAACAAGGACATATTATTTTTGTGTAAGCATTTTTTTATTTTAACAGTAGACTTAAAAAAAAGGTAACAAAATGCTATTTAATTTCGTCGTCTATTACAGTCTTAAGCAGGAAATTACTATTTTAATTCGCAAAAATGAGAGAATATATCCTCATTGAATTTAATTCACCTAAGCAGTAAAGCGTAAATTTATTTACTGTTAAGTCTTGGATCTTTTTTTCAGGGAGGTTTCTTAATTGAATCTAATAGGGCAGAACTTTTATTACATTATGCAGCTGTATAATCAACTTTGTATGAGGTCTTAGTTCCAACAACCCTGTAAAAAATTTGTTTTTCCCACTCTCAAAAATTATGTACGGAAACACGTACTGATAATTTTCTAAAACTATGGAATTGCATGTGTTTTTTGGTTGTTTTTTTTTTCCACACATGCGATCTCTGCATGTTCCTTGCCAAATAATCTTCGTTAAATCGATTCCTGTAATAACCCTGTAATTTTCTCTGTAAACAATCCTGTTAAGAATTTTTCCTTTATATCTACTACCATGTACGGAAGTACTAGAATATAAGTACGGATAATTTTAATGACAGATTTGGACAGTTGTTTTTAAATCTCTTGTTCTCTATGCATTCTTTGCATGTTCTTTGCAAAATTAAAATTCTTTGTCCGACTTATTCTGGTAAAATTCCAGTAAGAGATGTTTTCCTTCCTATGAGTTGCTTTGAACAGAAAAAAGAAAATATAACAGAGGTTCGGTTTTTTTTTTTTTTTTTACTGAAAGCTTATTCGGATCACATGTGCTATCTGATATATTGTTCCACTCGCATTCACTACAAATTGCATGTTTTTTTGTAAATAACAATTTCTTTGTTCGATATATTCTTCTAACATTTCTACAATATGCATCATTATTATGTAATTTTACATGGCAAAATATGAAATTTGAGGGAAGGTTGAACAGTACCTGAGAAATCGAATTTTAAATGTCTGAATTTTTTTTAAATTCAATTTCTCAGGAACTATTCAACCGATTTTGCTCAAATTTGTATTTTACCATGCAAAATTATATTCTTTAAAAGGAAGCACAGAATTGTATACCTTACAACTCAAATTTTTTCGTCCATTCTTCAATAAAATAATTAAAAATAATAAATATTTACTAACAAATATTTTTTACATGGAATTATCTTTGGATGAACGAATTTTATAATCATGTGCAAAAATTTTTCAATTCGCTTAAAAAGTTCTTGAGATATGGCGAAATACGCAAAAAGTAAAATTAATATTAAGGGGTCAAAACTTTGAAGCGCTTTCCTGACAAAACTATGGGGATCATATTTCCTATATTGCGGCTATCCCCTATATTTTAGGTGTCAAAAATCTGAATCTGTCTAAAAGAAAGAAAAAAAAGAAGAAAAAGATATCTTTATTCAGAGAAAGTGCGAGTTTGTTTCCGATTTTGTAACTTAAAATGTTGTCTTCATTATTAATTACCATGTTTGAAGTTAGCCATTAAGATTGAATTTTGGAACGTGAAGATCCGATTATTACTGCACAATATGATAAAAAAAAAAGAATTATGTTTATCACAATCGTTGCAAAATTCTTTAAGAATGTTTTTCGAAAGCTTGGTGTCACATGAAATGATATTTTTTTTATATTATTTTTTTATGTGATCCGAGTTTGTAACAGTTATTCATTACTATTCAATCAAGTTTAGACTGTTTTTAGCATTCTCTTTTATTCTAAAAATGGCGCAAAACGTCAATATGGAGAAAAGTCACAGTTTTGAGAAAATGAAAAGTGGCCTAATTTTTTAATATTTAAAAAATTATTGCAATGCTGCTCATGCTTATACGGGCTCAGAAAAATTTGCAAAAAAGGAGAACAAGGCATTGATTTTGATAATTTTCATATTTATGGAAATACGTCACCTAATTGGCGAATTTTAAAAACGTTTAATGACTCTTAAAATATTT